AACTAAAATGGATTAGAGACTTGAAGAAAACACAGGTGGTTTCTTGACATCGATCTTGGTGATGATCTTTTGGATATGACTTTAAAAATAAGGCAACGAAAGCAAAAAAAACAAGTGAGACTACATCAAACTGAAAGTTCTCTGCACAGCAAAGAAAATGATCAACAAAATGAAAAGGCAACCTACCAAATGGGAGAAAACATTTGCAAATCATGCATCTGATAAGGGTTAATATCCAAAATATACAAAGAACTCATATAACTCAAAAGCAAAAAATTAAAATAAAAAAATGGGCAGAGGATCTGAATAGACATTTTTCCAAAGACAACATACAGATGGTCAACAGGCACTTGAAAAGGTGCTCAACATCACTAATCACGGAAATGCAAATCAAAACCACAATGAGATATCATCTCACACCTATTAAAATGGCTGTTATCCAAAGGAAATAACAAATGTTTGTGAGGATAAAAAGGAAAGGGAACCTTTGTGCATTTTTGGAAGGAAGGTAAATTGGTGCAGCCACGATGGAAAACAATATGAAGACCCCTGGAATTAAAAACAGAACTAACATATGACCCAGCAATTCCACTTCTGGGCATTTACCTTATGAAAACGAAAACCCTAATCTGAAAAGATACATACTCCCCCACATTCAGTGCAGCATTATTTACAACAGCCAAGATATGGGAGCAAGTTGTTATGTTCATTGATGGATGAATGGATAAAGCAGATGTGATATGTATAATAGAATACTCCTCAGCCATAAAAAAAGAGTGAAACCTTTCCATTTGCAACAACATGGATGGACCCTGAGGGCATTAAGCAAAGTGAAATAAGACAGAAAAAGACAAACACCATATGATCTCACTTATATGCAGATTCTAAAAAACAAAACAAACAAAAAAACGAAGCTTATTAAGACAGAGAACAGACTGATAGTTGTCAGGGGGTTAGAGGTGGGAGACACTTGGAGGAGATCAAAAAGTACAAACTTCCAACTATAAAATAAATAAGCCATGAGTATGTAACGTACAGCATGGTAACTAGTTAATAATAGTGCATTGCGTATCTGAAAGTTGCTAAGAGAGTAGATCTTGAAAGTCCTCATCATGAGAAAAGAAAATCTGTAACTATGTATGGTGATGGATGTTAACTAGACTTGCTGTGGTGATCATTTCATAGTGCATACAAACATTGAACCATGATGCACAGATGAGAAATATGTCAATTATACCTCATTAAGAATGCTAATGTCACTCACTTTACTTTCTCATTTCAAGACTAAAACAACAAAATCTATAGGTAATATTTGTTTTTTATACGTATTACTCATGTGGCTGGCACATAAATGTTAGTTATTATTCTTATTATTACTAACTCAAATAAGTACATTAAATGCTGTGATTTCTAAGAGCTGTAATGTTACTATCTGAATTATCAAATGTCTTACTACTTCCCTCAAAATATAAAAGATATGAGAAGTGACTGGGGGAGTATGAAAAAAGCATACTCTAACATACAACAGAAGGCTTTTATTCAATGTGACAGATACTAATGATCAGTGTTATGGACTGAATTGTGTGCCTCAAAATTCGTATGTTGAAGTCCTAACCCCCAATATTTCTGTACTTGGACATAGGACCTTAAAGGAGGTGAATGAAGTTAAATGAGGCCATCACTGTGGGGTGGCAATCCAATAGCACCGATGTCCTTATAAGAGGAAGAAACATCAGCAGTGTGTATGTACAGAGGACACAAAGAGAAGGCGGCTGTCTACAAGCTAGGAAGAGAGGTCTCATCAGAAACCACACCTGCTGGCTTTGGACTTCTAGCCTCCAGAACTGTGAGAAAACCAAGTTCTTTTATTTAAGCCACTCTGTCTGCAGTATTCTGTTATGGCAGGCTGAGTAGACTACAGTTAATTTAAAAAGTCAGTAAAAGCAGGAAAAAATTAAAATGCTTTGTTAATATATTAAACATCTTATTTCAACTTAAAAAACTGTATATTCAGGGACTTCCCTGGTGGTCCAGTGGTTAAGACTACGCTTCCACTGCAGGGGGCGTGGGTTCAATCCCTGGTCGGGGAACTAAGATTCCACATGCCACGTTATCAATCTTTTGATACAGAATTAAGACCTGCAAAGATGTCCAGTTTTGGCTTCTGTAAAATGAAGCAAGAACTTAGACTCTTACAAAGCAGCCTCAGTACAGAAACCTGGATTGCAGTAACTTTTTTCCAACCTGTTATAGTTATCTCAACCATTTCCAATACAAGACTCTAAATTTTTCAGCAATTCACTTTGTCCTATCTTTCTAAAGCATTCATATTTGTTTCTACAGAAATGACTTTATTCGTCCATTCACATTATTTCACTGGTCTAACTAGTATTTAGATTATATAAATGACATAGCAAATATAACTGGCATAAACAGCTCACAGGAAAAACACAAGTGACTCACAATAGACAATTCATCTGTAAGTACAGAAGTGTACAGATATAGTAGAGACCAAGCAACTCACTAGCTCAAAGTATCTGACCTATTCTAGGCATCATGCATTGTGTTTTAGAGCAGGAATAGCCAATACTGGTTAATCAACTGAGTTTGAAATGAGGTTAGTTAAGAGGGCTTCTATGGTACAGTTCTCCCTGGCATCCACAGGAGATTGGTTCCAGGACCCACTGTGGATACCAAAATTGTCAGACGCTCAAGTCTGAGAGTCGGGTCTCGGCATCCACGGGTTCCGCACGCTCAGTTTCAACCAACTGTGGATTGTGTACCACATTTAGGATGAGCAGTTTGGCTGAATCTGTGGATGTGGAACCCTCGGAGAGGGAGGGCTTACTGCATATCCAAATAAATGGTGGCCATTTAAAATGATCACTTTGGAAGGCTGTGTCACTGTGTCAAACAATTTGAAAACTCCTCTTTTGGAATTTCTGAAAACTGCTTATGTTTTAAACGTTTAATGGTAAACTGTCATCCTTGGAATGAGATTTGACTTCCAAAAAACATTAAGTGATCTGTCTGGTATAAAATGTGAGCAGCGAAGTCCAGGAACATAATTTGAAGAAAAGCAAGGTGCACTATAAAGTAAAATAACTGTTTAATATATTTCTTCTTTAAATGTAAATCTAAAAGTTTTAAGAACATGCTGAATAATTATGACATAAGTATATTGAGTACAAGATGCCACTCCAAGAATATCTGTTATTTGCATATAAACTTCTAGTATTTGTTTAAAATGACTATCAGACATTCATTTTAATTACATCACATATACCTTTACATAGGTATGTATGTGTGTACACACATACATACACATATACGTAAGAGTGGACACCAATCAACTTTATACACACCCACACACACACACATACGTATATGTATATATACACATAGCTTAGCCTTCAGAAATGCCCTGATACTGGAGCCCAATTATTGAGGAAATTTTGTCACATTGAAGATTCTGAACCTTACTCTGTTATAAAAATGAGTCACGAAAATTTTTGCATCAAGAAGTGACTTAATGAATGCAGTGTTTTAGGAAGATTTATTTAACATGTAAGAACCAGAGGTGTGCAAAATGGAAGGAGAAAAGTAATTTAGGAGATTATCAGCATAAACCAGTTATATGGTAATAAGGGTCTAAATTAGAGACAGACAGGAAATGGGAATTAAAAGGACAAAAACAAGAAATATGTAAAATAATATATGCAAAAGGGACTGTACAAACATTAGTTTTTATTACTGTGAAAGAACCCATAAGCTGTGAAGTAGATGAAAAATATCAAATGCAGAGTAAGGATGAGTAAGACAAAATCCTCAGGCAGTAACACCCTGTTCTTTTCCGCTTGCCCTACAAATCCAAAACAAAGATGGGGCTTACTCAAATTTCTAGTGAATATGGAAGAGCTTTTTTTGTTTTTGTTTTTGTTTTTTTTTTGCGGTACGCAGGCCTCTAGCTGTTGTGGCCTCTCCCGTTGAGGAGCACAGGCTCCGGACGCACAGGCTCAGCAGCCATGGCTCACGGGCCCAGCCGCTCTGCGGCATGTGGGATCTTCCTGGACCGGGGCACGAACCCGTGTCCCCTGCATCAGCAGGCGGACTCTCAACCACTGCACCACCAGGGAAGCCCCTGGAAGAGCTTTCGTTGTCAATCAAGATAAGTACAGCCCAACAAGCATTCTGTAGATTTAATTAAGCTCCAGTATGAGGTATTATTCATATCAATTCTGATCTGGATATGAAGTAACAGGTGTTTTGTTCTTTCTTCTCAAGCTTAAATGAATTATGTGTGGGGGAGAAAGTGAAAGAAAAAGAGAGAGAGAACATGTGTTGGACCCTAACAGATGGCGGCAAATTACTTTCTCCTTTATACAAAGTGACATTTTCTCTTCAGTATAGTCTGCAATCAAGTAGGTTCTGCTTTTGGGGAGAAACGGTAACTAGTACATTGCTAATTAGACAATGGTGGGTTTTTTTTGTTTTTTTGGTTTTTTTTTTGCAGTACTCGGGCTTCTTACCACTGTGGCCTCTCCCGTTGCGGGGCACAGGCTCCGGATGCAGAGGCCCATCGGCCATGGCTCACGGGCCCAGGCGCTCCACGGCATGTGGGATCTTCCCGGACCGGGGCACGAACCCGCGTCCCCTGCATTGGCAGGCGGACTCTCAACCACTGCGCCACCAGGGAAGCCCGACAATGGTTGTTTAATTAAGAGTGCTCTGTTTTATAACTGAGTTAGCCCAAGAATGTCAAATAAGCCTGAAAAGTAAAGGTCAACTTTTATTTCTAGTCTTCAACTTCTATATTCTACTCCTACCCTCTGACCTCCACCAAAGGCCACAAACCTGCTCAACTTTTACCTCTTCCTGAACTTGTCAATAATTTAAAAAAAAATCAAGGACTAACATTTCCAAACTTCATTAGAGGAAAACTAGAAAAATCTACTTTTAATTCTTCCAGAATTTATCTGAAAAACACTAGGATAACTTACCTCAAATCCCTTCACCTTTTCCATCGTTATCAAGCGCCTTGATGTGCGACCGGAAAGCTTCTGCTCACAGTTGCTGATGAGTTTCAAGCAAGGGTGCCAGGGTACCATCTCTTCAGTGTATCTGAAGAAAGAGCAGCTGACTGTTAGGGACACTCACGTGTGCACCCCGCAAAGGATCATCATGGGGGTTATCCACTGTGGTATGGGACGTCCTCCCACTACATGCTGTACCATTTTATTTCACATACGCTAATTGTCCATATAATCCATAAACAATCTGCATTTATAAAAAGCAAAGTATTTAACATAACCACATCCAAAGAAAGTAGTTTAATTTTTTTACCTGTATAATGAGGATGAGAGAGAACACAGGTATGTTTTATTGAAGAATGCCAAGCATTTAAACCACAAAAATACAAGATGACAATTCTACCCTAAAGGATCCCATGAGAGCACGTAAGACAGACAGAAATACATTCCATAACAACCCGCTAACATTCATGAGGGACTGATTCAACTGGGGATGTTTATAAATTCCCAAAGTAAAGTCCACTACAGCATATACCCCTTTAAAATGAAATGTCCCTGCAAAATTTTTTATGACATCTTGAGACCTCTATTAACCTTGTTATATAAGATTATTCAGATAAACTACCACTAAACTAAACACTACAGATGACATCAATCCTCTGCCATGAAATAAAACCAAAGTTATGATAAAGAGCAGTGGTGCTTGCTGCTGTACAGCACATGTACTTAGTGAATGAAGATGACGACACCTAGAAAGCAGGACAGTCAGGGTGCAGTAGTTCAGAACTTCATGTCTGACAGGTTGTTGGCACTAATCTTGGTAGAAGAAACAGGTACCAAATGTGGGGGAAACAGTTATGGAGCAGAATTCAGAAGAACAGCAGGAGAGAGGGCTCACTAGGTAGGGGCACCTTTAAGAACACTGTGATTGCCAGTTTTTATTTTTCCTTTGCAAACCTTCATATGTTTCTAGATAAACAGCCTGCAAACATTTCTTATATGGGAAATCTTAAAGCTCTGATCCAAAATAGGAAAGGTGCTGATCAGCGCTTCCTGTAAAGGACCACCATCCGACCAGCCAATTCTAATGCATCAACACTGTCTTCCCCACCACTCGTTCACTGATTTCTCTAGGTCCCTGTGACCTTCAACAAGCTCTTCCTCATTACCTTGACCACATGCTCAAAACTTTCATCACCCACTTACCAAGCAACATTCATAATGCACTTCACTTCATTATCAGTAGAAGGAATTCTCTTGAAATCATTCTCGGCCTCCCTCCTTAGGGCTTTCCAACAAATAATGGCCATTTCAGATTTCATCTCACCTAATAATTCTCTAATGCTCACTATACAGTCAGAAATGTTGTGCTCCTGTAACATTAAGTTGATGTCAAATTTGGAGTCTTCACACAATGCATTCTACACCATAGCTGACAGACTTAAGTAATGGTAACAAAGAGAAGATATAGTTTTGACCTTAGGCTTGCAAACATCAGGGTTTAGAAATGTCTGAAATTGTCAAATTTAGTAATGTACCCTTTTTTAAAGGAAAAAAATCTTATTTCTTGGCAAAAGAAAAGGTATTTTTATTAAATTTTATTTATATACCTTTTATTGACAAGGTATTTTTATTAAAATGTTTCTTAAATGTATACAAAGATAAATTCCTCATGCTTATATAATTTATATAATTATAAAACCCAAAACAAATTTATAAATTAAATCAAAGCACAAAACAAATACAATTTTAATTAATATCTATGACATGAATAATGCTAAACTGGTGAAACTAAGTCATTGGCATTTGGCTTAACAGCAGAAAAACATTTACATGTTCTAGATTATTTTTTTACTTGATCTTTGAGTTTAAGCATGAAAGGACATCATTTAGGTCATCATTATCATTAACAAACTTGTTTTTAACCACTACTCTATTATATGAATGAGCCAATCAATTTAACAGTGTACTCCCAAAATATCACACTAAAAAATAAAAAACGGCAGTGAAAAATTATTTACTATATATTTACTAACATATTTCATACTAATGGACTGTTTGCAATCTGTTAAGTAGAAGCTATAAATCTGTACTATGCCTAGACTCTTAGGATAGTATGGTATCTTATCTTAATTCCCTGTTTTTAGTACTATTCGCCTATAATCTAAGCATCTATTTAAAATCTAAATCAGCCAGAATAGGTAAATCCACAGAGATAGGTAAGTGGTTGCTAGGGACAAGAGCAGTAGTGACTGCTTATGCATACAGGGTTTCTTTTTGGGATAATAAAAAAGTTCTAGAGGGCTTCCCTGATGGCGCAGTGGTTACGAATCCACCTGCCAATGCAGGGGACACAGGTTCAAGCCCTAGTCCGGGAAGATCCCACATGCCACGGAGCAACTAAGCCCATGCGCCACAATTACTGAGCCTGCACTCTAGAGCCCACGAGCCACGACTACTGAGCCCGCGCACCACAACTACTGAAGCCCGCACGCCTAGAGCCCATGCTCTGCAACAAAGAAGCCCATGCACCGCAACGAAGAGTAGCCCCCACTCGTTGCAACTAGAGAAAGTCCACGTGCAGCAATGAAGACCCGACGCAGCCAAAAATAAATAAATAAAATAAATTTATTTTTAAAAATGTTCTAGAATTAGACAGTGGGGATGGCTGCATAACTTTGAGGTTATACTAAAAACCATGGAGTTGTACACTTTAAAAGGGTGACTTTCATGGTATACAAATTATATTTCAACCTTTTTTAAAAGAGAAAAAAAAAAAAGGTGTATAGGTCCCTAGCTTTTCCATCAATCAATTTTGACAGCCATTTATTTTCCTGTGAATCTTCATGACTCAAGCTAACTACTTCCAAATGTCATTAGAGTTTCACTTCCCATTTGAGAGATGGATTTTGTGCTGATTGGAGCACTTACTGAAAACAATTTAAAAGAATCACTTTTCTCTGTTTCCTGTATGAAAGATGAAAAACAACATGTTCTGTTCTGTTTTGTGTGGCTCTGAGCCACCACAAAATTCATTTTATCACAATTAAAATTTATCTCCAGATCTTACTTGGAGTACTTTATTAGACTTCTTCACTTTGTCATCATTTTTATCACAAGCACTAGCAGTTGGATTTCTAGTAAAGGACATCCTTCACAAAGAAACACAGTTTCTAATCACTTCAAGAGCATTAACTGTGTCTAAATGACAATTAGAAAACAACACATAGGGATATGTGGAACTTGGGCAAAAAGCTACACTCACTCAACACCTTAGCAACTCCTACAATATCAAATACACGAGTTGAATGTATGCCCTGCCCAAATGAATGTTACACAGACCTTCAGGGTCATTTGAAAATAGTTGAAATTGCGAATAATAAATTCACAAATACCAAAAGTCAAGAATAATTTTATGTGGTAAGTCTCTATGAGTAATAAGAGTAAACTACTAGGAGAGCACATATGAAGGATTGATGAATTCTGCTTAGGTTTCAGAAAGTGTCACAGAGGTGGTAACAATTAAGCCAGGCCTTGAAAGATGACTAGAATTTTACAGCTGAGGAAAGAAGAAACAGTATATCAAGCAATGGGTACAGAATAAATAAAGGTTGAAGGACATAACCTATACAGAGTGTCTTGATGCTGGCCAAAAATACAATATATTAGAATGGGGAGAATCTGGACTAGAGGAAACAGAAGTTTGTTGAGTAGCAGTTTCTTCACTACAATTTAAATTACTAAATAGTGAGAAAATCCTTTTTCAATCATCAGTTCTGACAATTCTTCACAAATAACTAAGCTGTTAGGTAGTATTTTGTTTTTATTGTCTTATACATTTCAAAATGTCTTGGGTTTACAAAAAATAAAATGTTCTGGGTTTAATGAATAATACCTTAACTTGATTATAATGTGCAAGTCTTATTTTTAAACTTCAGTCTTATAACAGGATTTGGCTGAGTAAATTAATTCAATAGTAGGACTAAAAGCCTACATTCACTATGCCAAAAATACAAAAGTTTTCAAATTAAGCTGTGCTAAGGTACAATTTTAAAATGAATTCTTTATTCTTAGTTTAATAAAAAGCTATATATGCAATACAACATAACCAAACGAATTCTAAATTGTTTAATTCAGAAGCAAGAACATTATTTCAAACTTTTACAGATGACTTTAGTTTTAAGTTCATCTAATACTGTGTTATTTTAAAAAGAGTAAATACTTCGGATTATGTTTACTGCAAAAGTGAAAATAGTTTATTCCCTAATATAAACTCAAGACAAACTAAGTTCATTAATAAGATCACTTTGAGTTAAGGGGAGGAGAAGGCACAACAGAAGTCTAGTTATGAACATCAGAAGACCTGACAAATAAGTCAGGGAAGTAAATGCCATAGTAGTCTTTCCATGTGTGTCCTAGCCTGGATGAAATTTGTCCTTTGATAAAACATCTAAGGTTGAAAAAAAAAAAAAAAAAGTGACAAAAACATGCCTCCTTTTTTTACTTCTAAAGAATCCCTTTGGTTATATGGACTTGGAAATTTCCCCTTGTCGAAAATTATTAAAAGAGAAGTCACTGAAGAAATACCCAGTGGCTTAAGGTCTTCAGAAATACTAAAATAGTTGAAAGTGCCTCCAGTTTGACTTTTTATAAAAAAGAAATAAAAGAATTACAGAAGATATTCATAACCACATTTAATTTCAATTATAATTAAATAATAAACTATAAAATAGTGGAAAGTCAGAAATGCCAGAATATAAGAAACACACAAAAACTAATGAGGATATTTCAAAAGGACAGAGGAGCCACCTCAGAGGGACTCCTGCTGATCATAGATCTGGGACAATTTGAACAACAAAATAATGATAGTAATAAATTATAACCCAATGAATAATATAGGAATCTATGACTCCATACCAGTATAAATTAATAAATTAATGGGAGGGAAGGGAAAACTAATCCTTATAGTCAAATGCCAACTTAAAATGCAGAAGGAATGATGGAATAGAAAAGTCACCATTATGGTGGTTGTCAACAATAGAACTGTCAATGTGAGTAGTCACCTGATGAAGAACAAGATATTGGTGTAATCTTGTGATACCTCCCCCTGGGAAATACTAATCGAGAAGAACATGATAACTCACAGCGGAGAAACCTGACAGAGAACAACATGACCAGATGATCAAGTTTAAGACCTCCAGTAGAGGTTGGCTCTGTGTGCCCCATAATGCAGTGCACTAAGAGCACAGTATCATTTTTGTGGTATTTCTACCAAGAGCATTGCCTGAGTCTGGTCAAGGAAGAAACATCAGATGGACCGGGTTAGGGGTCAACCTTCACAATATAAGCCCTGTACTCTATAAAACTGTTAAGGACACAAAAGATAAGGAAAGATTGAGGAAATATTCCAGACTGGAGGAGAATGACATGATGGGACAATGCAGTACATTTTCCCAGAAGAGACTGCAATCAGTAATATCTGACTGGGGTCCATGATCTGGAGAGCAGCACTATCAATGCTGACTTCCAGACTTCAGGGGTTGATGGTGACTTGACAACAATGCTCTTGCTTCTGAGAAATGCAATGAAATACGCAGGGGTCATGGGGCATCATATCTGCAACTTCTCAAATAGTTCCAAAAATGATTAATGATAATGGGCATGTGATTAATGTAATGGGTAAGGAAAGCGGGGGTAGAGGAGGTGTATGTTAATAGTTGGAAAATTTGGATGGGGGAGAGATGGGAGTTTTTTGCATTTGAAACTTTTCTGTAAATTTGAAATTTATTTCAAATAAATTTTTTAAAATTCCAGTTCTGAAAACTTGAATTAAAAGAAAAAGACAAGTTAGTTTGCTGCTGGAGTTCAGCTTGTCTAAGGCAGAAACCACTTTTGAATAAAAATAAACAAATATGCTCTTCTCTGAAAATATATTTTTTTCTCTGAAAATATTAATAAAACACCATCTATCACTTCACATACCAGACACCTGAGATCTTGGCAAGATGTTGAATTATGTGAACAGCACTAGGAATAACGAAAACAATAAACTAGCTGGCTTTTAACTTTAGACAAGTCATTTCACTCCTTGGAATTAATTTCTCTTACTTCCAAAATTAAGAAATAATTAATTTCTTAACAGAACATAAGCGCTGTGTTAAGGGGTATGGGTATGAATGTGTACAGTCTTATTAGCTGATAAACAAGATGCAAAACTAAAGTTAGGTCACGGCTTCCCTGAGGGTGCAGTGGTTAAGAATCCACCTGCCGATGCAGGGAACACAGGTTCAAGCCCCAGTCCAGGAAGATCCCACATGCCATGGAGTAACTAAGCCCCTGGGCCACAACCACTGAGCCTGTGCTCTAGAGCCCGTGAGCCACAACTACTGAAGCCTGTGTGCCTAGAGCCCGTGCACTGCAACGAAGAGAGTAGCCCCTGCTCGCCTCAACTAGAGGACGCCCGTGCACAGCAACAAAGACCCAATGCAGCCAATAAATAAATAAATAAATAAATTTATTTTAAAATAAAAAAATAAAGTTAGGTCATGGTAGCTCCCAATGAAACATTTATAAAAGAAACAACAAAAAAGCATAGCTTCCAACAGCTGAGGGACCATCAACCATTATGAAAAGACAAACAAGAAAACACTGGTCTAAATGCTTTTTGTACAATTACGTAAATATAGAAGTTAAAATAATTTCTAAAAAAGATATCTATAGCATATTGAACAAACAGCCAAATTTTCAGCTTGACACTGCCTTTCAAATCTAAAGATCCTGTTTTGTCAACACATCTTGTCTTTCATTGTTGGTGTACACAGCTCTGTTTATAATTAATAACTACTGAATAATAAAACCCAAACCAATAATGTTGAACATAATCAGGGCTTTAAATATATGCATAGCTCTTAGTTTGTTTGGTCTTAGCTTTTAAAAAAGATTTTACTGCACTTATGGTGATCATAAGAGCCAATATATATTCAAGCTAACTAGCAGTAGATAGATGAATCACTCAGCTAAGTTGTTAAAATTTATCTAAGTTTATGGCCTGGCCAAAGAGCTATTGAACACACAGGCGCTGAGCTAAGTATGATATACAACAGGGGCAAACTTTTGCTCTTACAGGCCAGATAGTAAATATTTTAGCCTTTGTGGACCACATGTGTTTCTGACACATATTCTTCTTTGTTGTTTTTTTCTTTTCTAATAACCCTTTAAATAGGTAAAAGCCAGTCTTAGCTCAAGTGCCTTACAAAAACAGGCTGAAAACCATATCAGGCTCACAGGCTGTGGTTTGCCAACCCCTGATGTAAAATAAAAAGTTCAAAGCAATTCAATCAATAAGAAGAAGGGGCCTGTTTTATGCAGCGTGTTGGTAAATGAAGGCCATCATACACATTAAACACATTTACCCTGAATATGATTAGAGACAGGGAAAAAAAAGTATGCTAGATATACAAACACCATAAGAAAAAGTAAAATTATTTAATATTTTAAATAATTAAAAAAGTATTTAATATTACATACTCTGGTGTGTACACTGGTAACCAATAGACTAGTCTTCCACCTAATACGAGGGTTTCAGCAGCAAAGTTTAACAGGTCAAAAAACATATCACTCAGATGATAACTCAAGGAAACAGGAACGTGGGTTTCTGGACTAGACAAAGAAAACGAAATTTCAAAATCAGTGAAAAACTTAAAAACCAGTGAAAAACTTTAAGACTATTAAACTAAGTTAATTAAAAAAAAGCAACATGCTTCTTCCCAAAGTAGTAACATACCATATTTAACTTTTACTTACCATTTTTCTATCCCCTTTGGTATTTCCTTCTGTGAACCTGTTCTTCTTGTAGACTCTCTAATACCATATGGAGCTAGACAGAAAACAGAGGTAACACGGATAGTCAAAAGTCACCTAATCACCACTGCAAAGCAGACGGACATCATGTGCCTCCAGATGTGACACCCTGAGAAGGACACATCACCTATGCAATATTCCAGCTGAGAATGCATAACAAGAGGGACATTCTATTTAAAACACTGGGAGGGCAGGCAAACAGGTGACTGTATTCTTCAAAATGAGAAAGGTTGTGAAAATGTTACAAACTAAAGGAGGGCTAAAAGATATGACTACTAAAGGCAATACCTGACACTAGGCTAGATACTGCACTTCAGGGAAAAACATGCTATAAAGGATATTACTGGGTCAATTGACAAAACTGGATGAGAAGCTACAGATTAAAGAATTAGCGATTCACTGAAACTGGTAACTGTACTTCGGCTATCTAAGAGACTATCCCTATTCTTAGGAAATATACACTGAAGTATGGGGGTGGGTGAAGGGCCATGATGTATACAACTTACTCTCAGTTGATCAGGAAAAAAATTACGTATTTTTATAAATACACATAGAGAGTGAGAGCAAATAATAAAGTAGATTATTAATAAAAAGTCACTCAATTTTCAAAAGTATATTCATACTGATATTCATACTTGCTAATTTTTCTTTTGTTAGATTTGAAAATATCTAAGTTACCAAAGAACTGAAAAGATCTGAGATGGAAGGGTTGAGATACTGTATGCCACTATATAATATAGATTTACTGCCAAATACTATAGAAAAGGTAGATTTATTCTTAGATAGGATGCCTGAAAAGCCCAAGAACTCACATGGCATGAGAAAACAAGTTCTCATGCACATTCTTGAAGCTCAGTGGGTTCACAAGCACAGTGGGTCACACCCAAATTTCTTTTAATTCTATAAAGGAGATGCCAGTTACAACAGGCACAACAACAAAAAAAAAACCATAAAAGCTTACACAGAGAGAAATGGGAGATATCTGAAACTTTCTTCTTCAAATCTGATACCATAATTGCAAAAGACATTTTGGCTCCAGTTGCTACACTAATAACCAATTACGGTCAAATATAAAACAAATATAAAAACAAATTTATGTCTTAAAAAATAAGCCGAAGAGAAAAAGGGATGACAAGTTAATACATATAGTTTAAAAAATCAAAACCACTTAGTTAAACTGGTGTCCTGCCCTACATTCATAATTTTTTCCTTCTCACTATGTGAAGAAGTCAGGGGTGAGGGGAATACGAATACAAGTTGGCTTTTTTTCTTGTAATGATCAATTTTGTACTTTAAATGTAAATGACTTTAGGAACCTAATCCTACTCCTACTTTTGTATAAAAATAAACTTACGATCAGTGATGACTGCATCAAAGTATGTGCCCTTCCTCCAAGAAGGTTTAGATGCATCTGAAACCAGGACATCAAGGTAATACTTCTCTAAACCATACTGACGAAGATTTGCCCTAATGTTTTCATCTGGTCCTCTCCATTTCTGGTTTTTCCTACTAGCCTTTCCTGAAGGGAAAGAAAAAGGAAGACAGAACTAACAAACAACATTCTTACCTCGTCATTTAGCTAAAAGTAACGTTTAACTTATCTAAACCTATATTTAATCAAATAAAACTTGCTTTCATTTCAAATCTTATTTATACAAGGAACATTTTTATTTTAACTTATTGTAAAAAATATTTCAAAAAGTAAACTGTACTGATGTCTAACTATCCTTTCACATAAAACTGCCTTAAAACACTCATTCAATAATTAATGCATTCAAAGCATACTAATAAAGATACAGAGTTAGACAGAACATGGTCCCTTTCCTCTAGCAGTATAGAAATACTGATGAATTAGATAGATGGAACAGAAATGAAGAGAGCTAACTTGGGAAATGCAGGAGCTGTGACCATGGACAGAGGAGGTAAAACGAGAACACAAGAGATGAAGAGTTAAAGTGGGGGACTCAAGGAAGAAGTTCAAAAGTTTTAGTTTAGGAGACATGAGTGGGTGATGATACCATCAATTAAGATCCGAGAAACCAAGAGGAAAAGAAAATCTAGGACAAAAGATGAGATTCATTTGAGATACATCAATCTTGATACACCTTGAGGTACCTACAGAAGCTTCAGAGAGAGAGATTCAGCAGGTAGTTAGAGGCCAGAATACATATACTTGAGAGATGTCAGTATATAAACTTAAGTTAAATCTGTAAGAATGAATGATATTTCTGATTAACCTAGGTGGCAATTACATAAGTGTTCGATAATTACTCTTGTTATTTTAATAAACTCTTCTGTATTATGATCTACTTCACAATAAAAACAAAACTTAAAAAGCAAAAGAAGAAGAATGACATGACTCTGCACAATATGTAGTGTGATAAAAGGGGTCAACGAGAGATGCCTGGAGAAAAGCAACATATAAACAGACATTGAAGAAAACTGCAGGGCCTTCAGGAGACTGAGATCGAAACAAAGAAATCAAAGTACCACCCAATGAAGCCACTGTCTAGGAAACCAAGGGATGCTTTATGAAGGTCAACACTGCCAAATATTGTAGATCTGTGGCCTTAGTAAGATTTTTCAGTAGGCATGCAAGCTGAAAAATAACAGGCAGAAGGCAGTTAGAGATGAAGAAGAGGAATAGCAAATAAACTAGTCTTTTTAAGAAGCACTTTGGGGGACTTCCCTGGTGGCACAGTGGTTAAGAATCCGCCTGCCAATGCAAGGGACACGGTTTGAGCCCTGGTCCAGGAAGATCCCACATGCTGTGGAGAAACTAAGCCCATGTGCCACAACTACTGAGCCTGCGCTCTAGATCCTGCGAGTCACAACTACTGAAACCCTCGCGCCTAGAGCCTGTGCTCCGCAACAAGAGAAGCCACTACAGTGAGAAGCCCACGCACTGCAACAGGGAGGAGCCCCCGCTCACCACAGCTAGAGAGAAAGCCTACATGCAGGAACGAAGACCCAACACAGCTAAAAATAAATAAATAAATAAATAAATTTTTTAAAAAATGAAAGAAGCACTTTGTCCCGGGGACTTCCCTGATGGTGCAGTGATTAAGAATCCGCCTGCCAATGCAGGGGACATGGGTTTGAGCCCTGGTCTGGGAAGATCCCACATGCCGGGGAGCAACTAAGCCCGTGAACCACAACTACTGAGCCTGTGCTCTAGAGCCTGTGAGCCACAACTATGGAGCCCACACGCCACAACTAGTGAAGCCCACGCACCTAGAGGCCATGCTCCGCCACAGAGAAGCCACTGCAATGAGAAGCCCGCTCACCATACCAAAGAGTAGCCCCTGCTCGCCACATCTACAGAAAGCCTGCGCACAGCAACGAAGACCTAACAGCCATAAATAAATAAATTAATAAATAAATTAATTAATTAATTAATTTAAAAAACTCAATCTCTTAAAAAAAAGAAAAAGAAACACTTTGGTAAAACGAAAAGGAAAACAAAGTAGTAGCTAGGAGGGTCCCTATAGGATTGATAGAAAAAGTTCTGTATTTTTAAAATAGAAGAAACTTGGAAGTATTTGAGAGTATAGTAAGAGATTAGAAGCATAGGAAACAGAGGGCATATCTAACAGCATCTTGGATAAGCTCTGAGGAAACTCTACCTCAGTCAGAATTCTACCCAAGTAGACTGAAAGGTTATCACATAACTTTTAAACATAACTCTAATAAATAAAAATTCAAATGAATTATATAGGACAATATCCTTAAAGCAAACATACTGCTTCTACTAAAAGCAAACAGGAATAATTCTTCTTAGCACTTTGTTTACTCTAACATACTGCAGACAAAGACTATCTTTTTCTGGTTAGCCATTTAGGTGAACTTTACAAAATGTTACTCATTCTCCTTATAGTACTCAATTCCTTATAGCAAGGTAGGAAAAAAGACAGTTCATCAAATACAATATATCAAATTACTTAAGCAAAAGAAAATAAAGTCTAATAAATGTTCACCTATATAATAATTTACACTGGGTAAGAGGAAAAGCATCTGATTCTAGTTACAACAATGAAATACCAGCATAAATACAATTTCAAAATCAAAGAAACTTTACATTTTTAATACTATTCAGCTATGAAGAAATATTTTCAGTTTGATTCAATTTCATCCAATCACACTTCATTAGCAAAGCTTCTAGATTTTAAAGTATTTTCCAAAATTGCCTCAAAAGCAAGCAGATGCTTATCTCAAACTACTCTCAGTCTAATGCAGAATCTTTACTATTACTGTCACCTTAACTGTCTCAAAGATGTTTTGGTCAGTTATGAAATTAAAAACATGTATGGTACTCAAGGACTAGAAATTAATTAGCGTATACACATATGACTGCTAAATAAAAGAACAGTGATAATTGTTAAGTAGAAACTCTATGTTTTACTAACATGAATATGCTAATTAAAAATGACTAGTCCCTCTCCCACTTCCTTCCTAACCCGAAAGTTTTACAACCTTATTGATTGCCTACTTTTTAAAAATCTAAGACCAAAAATAGCTCTGAGAGGAGGGATTTTTCCTACTCATCTTTGTGTTTCCCCGGGGATCATTTTGCTCACAACTGGATCACTTCATAAAAAGCAGATACCCAATGAAGTCTTATTGTTGTAAGAATAACTAAAACTATATCACAACCCTTTAACATTAAAAATAGATGTATAATGCCATATATAACTAAGTATCTTACAGGCACATTTGGTACAAGAGCAAAGACTGTAACACTGTCTAGAACACTACTCACCCAAGCCATGAACGGTGTTGTAGTCTATGTCTGTCCCATATACATATGCACCAAAATGAGCAGATGCTATCAGAAGGCCACCTGAAAAAAATCACACAATTGTGATCTGTTAACCAGAAAGTCCCAGACTCTTATTTCTTCCCCTATTTAATCTGACCCAAATTCTTACAAACCAGCTGTAGGCAGAGTTCCCTAGAATGACATTGGTTCTGGCCATATTTAGCAGGCTTCAGAACTGAAAAAAACAAACCCCTAAGCTGTGCTCATCACACTGGTCACAAAGCAGGGAATTAATATATGCCCTGGCATTATTACTTTAAACAGCACTACTTTGGGAAAATTATCCTTTTTTTGGTCAAAATAATGTGTATTTAAACATTTTCATCTTATTTTGAGAAGTCTATACAAAAGCATCTTGCTCCTTTCTTACAATGAACATACAAGGCTGCTACACAAAGAGCTGGCAATAAATAAGTCTGACAATTGGGCTTAATTCTCACTCAAGTCAGAGTTTCAAATAACTTAAAGAGGGCATAATTAATATATAAGAGATTAATTCTTACAAAAATTAAAATATGAGGACAAGAAATAGTTACTCCTATTATCAGTGAGGTAATTATCTGATTTTAAACTGTAGATACAAATTTCTGAATAGCTGTTACCAGACATACACAAAAATAGTTAATACAATGAATTTTCTGTTTACTTAGTGCTGTGAACAAAGGAAGAACAGATGTCCTAACACAATTTGACTAGACTAAGTAATTTGGTAGGTGTGACCAGTTCACATATGAAGGAACATCCTTATAAAGATTAAAAATTAATGAAATCCTTTAAACTAAAAGGTATATTTTAAAATTGTTTAAGAATAAAAATTCACATTCACAAAGTTAAATATCTTAATAATTGTTCTTTTCAATGAACTTCACTTTTTTAATTATCCAAATTAAAAATGTTCTTAGTACTTGGGTAGGTCCTAATAGCTATACTGCAGAACTATCTGTAAGCCAAACTGAAATCAGAAATATACAGAAAAATATTCTTAGCCTATGCACAAACTTGGATATGGGAAATAACTAGGGCTCTTTCCATTATATCCTTCTGAAATGTAATCTCTAAAATTAAGATGGGTAGTGCCTCCAGAGGGTCAAGGTCTATAAATTGTGTTCCTTCCATAGCCATTTAAAACACAGTTTGGTAACATGTACTTAAAAATACTTTGCTCAATGAAAAATATTATAACTACTACCTAATGGAGCCATGAATAAGAGAAATGGAAGACTAAAAGTACAGCAGAAACCAAAACCTAGGTTCTCTCATACTAACTACAAAAAGCATTTGTTTGAGGAGGTAAGGTTAAGTAAGACCTCATAATTCTTAGCCTATAAATGGAACAGTCCATATTTAGGAAAGGTACTATATTTAGTAATGACCTGAAATACAAAAATCACTTCACCCATATTAGAGGAATTACTACAATTCTGCCAATTAAGGCAGATACTCACCTAGAAGAACTAGTTGTCAAGGGGAACAGAAAAGCTTTCCTGTGTTCCTTAAACAGAACCTTATCCATTTGGTTAGAGTGAGTTTTGAGAAGACCCAATTTAGAGTACACTGCTGAAAGGAGATGAATAATCTGTTAGACTACATCTATTAGTTAACTTTGTGCCCTTTAAAAGCTTTTCAAGTTTCAAATAAAATCACTATAAATTAGCTTCTCTGAACTGGTCACTGGGTAATCACTGTTAATCATCTAGTTATTTTTTTCAATTAAATTGAAGCATTTTCACATTTAGTCATACCTCAGTTGGAGTTTCCTTGGAAGCTTTTTGGTGGAAGAAGGGGTGATAAAAAAGGAGGGGGTGAAGTGTTGAGGGGGCAGATAACATGACTCACCCAATTTCTTATTAGCTATCAAGTGTAGAAATACCACATATGTGATCTAGACTAGCAAATCAGTATTTTAATGTCTTATTACCTAAATAGTAACCAGTTTAAGGTTAGGGTAATATCTTACAGGTAAAAGGACACAATAACTGAACTTTTATGATATAGAAACAAATTTATGAGTTTCATCTGTAGAGATTTAAGTGGAAAGCCTTATAAAAATGTGAAAATGAGAACTGGGCTTTGGTTTTGCCAAAAGAAAAGGAAGAAAAATTGTAATATTATGTCCCCTATGTAATCCTTAACAAAAACAAACAAACAAAAACAACCCATAAATTAAACTAGCAGCTTAAGCAAAAGGATATTGCCAGAAAACAGAAATTCTACCAAACTATGAGACTCAGGAAAAGGGGTCTACAAAGAGTTGTGGATAAAATGGGAAGCAGAGATTCTCACAAAGACCTACAGAGATCCATTATCTCTCTGCTAACTTTCTCTTTTCCTCCTCATAGTCTCCTCTCAGAGGTAGACAGTGGGCTTCTCAACACCTTGCTCCCATGTCTATCATCTGCAATGACAAAATTTCAAAGTTTTACTCCTTTCCTTAAACCTATGAGCCATTTGAAGGTAGAATAGGCAAGGAGTACACAATAGTCTCCTGGGTATATTCTCAACTACTAAAGGAGTGGACTCATTTGAGAGAGGGGAAAGGGAAAAGCAATCAGAGCTAGGGCTGCAGAGCTACATCACTGCACCTACAGACATCGGCACACACTTGTGCCAATTATTTTCATTATGAACAAAGAATTAGAAGTTTACAATTTTAACCCTCAATTACCTTGCCTGCTGCCATAATTTGCCAATAGTTGCAAATTATGAATATCTTGGAAATCAGCCAAAGAAGGAACTAGAAAATGAATTCATGGCCAAATTGTTCATCATCACCATTCAATATTAGCTATATCTAACATCTTTCACCAAAAAGGTATCTAAGTGCTTAACAAAATAATTAAAAAATGATCAACAGTATGGTTGACTGTCTTCCATCCATCATACAATTTTCTAAGAATTTCATATACATATATTACCTCATTTAACCTCACAATATATTACTTATTACCATTTCACAAATGATGGAATTGAGGCCCAGACAAGTAAAGCATCTTGCTCAAAGTCATATAGTAACTGACAGAGTAAGGATTTAAAACGCACTCTCTTTGCTCTTATGGTACGCTATACTATATAACTTCCTTTAGGGTCAGCAGCAATTGAAGTAAATATTCATTAGCCTACTAATTAGATACACAAAAGTAAAATTTGTTATTAAACAAATTAAATTAAGTAAGGCTGCACACTCAGTTAATAAGAGTTGTATACAATTCACGAGTCTTGTATCACATCACAGGCAGGCCTGTGCCATTATAGGTTTTCAACTTACGCATGCTGATCATTCCTTTAGCAATGTTCATATTAGAATAGCAGTACTTCCTAATTACTGACAGCTGACCCATGATATATATCTTCCCCCTTGAGAAAATGGAGATGTACAACTTAAAATAAATCTTACTATAATGAGAATCAATGTATTTGCTAAAATGGAAATGAAAGTGTGTTTCTGTAGCTCATAATGTCATTCTAGACAAGAGAACAGACTGTCTAAAAGAAAAAGGAAAGGTATTCAGGGAGGAAAAGATTATATCTCTCCTTTCAACTTCCCAGAAGCTTTCTAACCTACTCTATAACCTTGAGAATACCACAAGCCATAAGTAGTCTGTGGGTAAAGCTTTCAGGACACTAATAAACATTAATTTTGTACCTTTAGAATGGAAAAGGGATATCATACATTTGAATTAAAACAAAAATACTAAAAAAGGAAAAAGGAAAAGAATATCATCCAACACTTATGAAAAACTACGACCATGGAGGAGGGCACAAGGCTACTTATTTCTCCAATCCTTCAGAAGGTACTACCCATCAAAGAGACAAAAGGTCCAGTAAAGAGGACAAACTGCTTAAGAACTGTGCCTATTCTCAATTATTAGCCATTACCAGTTATAAAACAAAAGCACCAAAAACTAGCTAAAGTCTTAAAGCTATGCTTAAACAACAAACACAAATTATGAAATGTATTTTAGCAGCATCTTTGCAAAGATCTTCCTCTTGCAATTTTCCATTAACTGTCCTACATATTGCAATTAATTTTCCATTAATTGTCCTATACAGTATAAACAGTCAAATGACCAAGATATGCTACCCACCCTAAGGAGCAGCCTTAAAGCAAATTAGGGGCAGGTCTGCTCACCCCTTACCACACTAAAAATAGTCAACACCTTGACTGCTATGGAAGTTAGCATTTCATAATATACCCAGCCTCGTCTACATCAAGGGAAGGAAATTTTACCCATACTGGTAACTATTTTTAAACTTTATGGTCTGGTCTATGTGTATGTGTGCATACTAAACACGTACATGTATGTATCTCAAAGAATCACTTCACAGGAAAAGGTTTTAGAAGTCCAAGAACAAGATTAAGAATTACTAGAGGGTTACCATTTGGAAAAAGATAAATTAAATCAATTCCTCACGGCATACAAGAAAATAAACTCCAAATGCATTTGAGATCTAAAAGGAAAAAAATCAAAACTACTAAAGTACCAGAAAATAGAGCTGAATTCCTCTATAACTTGGATGTAGGGGGAAAGTTTTTGCCTGGCAAAAAAACAATTACATGCAAAGTCAAAACATAAAGGGCAAACTGGGAGAAAATATTTTACATATTTATATACATAAAACAGGAAAAAAGGGGGAGAGTGACTAAAATATGAAGTATTTTTAAAAATAAGGGGAGGGGAATCAAAAAGACTACAGAAAAATAGGCAAAAGATTTGGACATAATTCCAAAAAGGTTATAAAACTAGATCTTAAAATAGAAAAAGTGATTAGATTTCACTCGTAAGAGAAATACAAATGAACGCTTCACTGAGATAACATTTTCACCCAACAGACTGGCAAATTTCAAAAGCCTGACAATATACTCTGCTGGTGATATTGTGAGGGAACAGGGGCTCATATATTGCTGGCGAGAAGGCAAGATGGTATAATGGAGAGTAATTTGGCCACATTTAACAAAACTACATACGCTTACATTCTTCAACCCAGCAATCCTAATTCTAGGAATTTACCCTGGAGCTATACTTCCAACACTATGAAAGTATATATGTACAGAGTATTCATTGCAAGCATTATTTGTAACTGTGAAATATGGGAAACTACCTATATCCACGTTTTGGTGATTGTTTGAATAAATTACAGTACATAAACGCATGGAGTACAACTATAAAAAAGAACGAAGATAATCTCTATGAACTAAAGGAAGTGATTTCTAAGAAATACTAAATGAAGTTAAGTGAAAAAAAAAGAAAAAAGAAATCTGTACGGTTAGACCAGAATTTGTAGTATATGTGAAAACTCACAATTTCTAAAATATGTATGTTTGGTTGACCCAAAATAAGGAACATTCTGGATAAAAAATAAAGAGAGGAGGGATAGTACACTTCAAAATTGTAAGTTTTATAAAAGAAAAAGTAAGATTCTGGATATACTCCACATCAAGGGATCAAAGAAATGTTAACAACAAAATACAATACCTGGAAAGGAAAACAGATGGTATAAAGGGACATCAGTGGGTCAATTACCAAAAATGGAATACAAACACTAAACTACTATATTAATAGTACATTTACTAACACTGAAAACTATACTGTGGTTATGTAAGAGAATATCCTTATTCTTTTTTTTTTTTTTTTTTTTCAGGTCCGTGGGCCTCTCACTGTTGTGGCCTCTCCTGCTGCGGAGCACAGGCTCCGGACGCGCCGGCTCAGCGGCCATGGCTCACGGGCCCAGCCGCTCCGCGGCATGTGGGATCTTCCCCGATCGGGGCACGAACCCGTGTCTCCTGCATCGGCAGGCGGACTCTCAACCCCTGCGCCACCAGGGAAGCCCGAGGATATCCTTATTGTTAAGAAACATATTCAAGTCTTTCAGAGGTAAAGGGAGGTAATGGATGCAACTTACTTTCAAATGATATAGGAAAAAAAATACCTTGTATATAAACATAATGAGAAAATAAATGATAAAGCAAATGATGCCAAATTTTAACAACAGTCTACTCTGGGTCAAGGATATGTATGTGTTCTTTCTTCTATTTTTAATCTTGTAACTTTTCTATCAGTTTGGCATTATTTCCTGTAAAGTTCAAAAAGTTGGGGAGGCACTCAGGATAATGAGGATAGGAAAGAAAGGAATAGGTATAGTAGTATGTTGGGGGTGGGATATATGAAGACAATGGTGGAATAGCAGAAGAGAGACTCACTAAGATTAATTCAACAACACAGGAAATAAATCCACCAGTTAGAATCTCTTGACCTTGATTCTATTTGCTCCTAATGACATGGGATTGTATTCCTCAAGTTAGTTTATGGTACAATAGCTGGCTGGCAGATCCTAAGGCTGAGAGAGGCAGCATTATGATAGTAAAGAGCACGAGCTCTGGAGTTAGACTGCTTGAGTTTGAATCTCATGAGATTTCTACACTGTATAACCTTGACCAAGTCACTTAACCTCTCTCTGTGCCATAGTCTCCGGAAGATTTTTTTAAGTATCTCAATTTCAGTAGTTGTAAGAATTAAATTAGATAGTAACATTAGAGTGCATAGCTAGTACCTGACATGTTTACTATTCAACAAATAGTAGCTACTGCATCATCACTGCTTACAAAGTTTCTGATGAGTTTCTAATGAGTTTCTGATGGGGAAAGACCACTACAGGGAGAAACTCCAAACACGCATAATTTGTTCCTAAACGATCTGAATCATAATGAATTTAGCCAGATGAACCTAAATGTGAGTACTCCCTAAGTATAGGCAAGATGAAAAAAAATGGGTTGAAGCAGGAAAATGTCTTCAGAGTCAGATGAAATAAACTTGGACTTTTAGGACTTACACACAAAGTTAATTATGAGGACATCCAATCAAGTGCATACAGAACCCAGGTCATAGCCTCAGCAACCAACCTCCAGTCCATTGACACTTAGTCACTTTTCTTATTTTCAAACTTCACACATGAACCTCCACAAACCAAAGGCACATTATTTTTTTTCCATGTAAGTATATAATTATCAATTTTAAAAGATGAATACTTTTTAAAATTCTGTCACTCAAGTCTTTCTTCCCCCCAAGAGTTTTCCTTTTTTTTTTTTAATTTAAGTATAGTAAGAGTTTTCCTATTTAAATAAACTATATAGCTTTACAACATTTCTACAATGTATGGTATACTCCCCTTAGTGGTTTACTTGGGGAAAAAAACCCCACAAAATTCTTTCAGCATCCTCTTTGGAAGTGGCAAAAGTGTTAAATATTGGCTACTATACAAATATGTGGCTGTCTCTCATCTAATGATAAATAAAGGATTATTTTATCTTTTAGCAAAAATATTACTATGACGTTGACTAACATAAACAAGCAACATCTCTACACTAGTTTAACAATTAAATTAAAATACCTGTTCCAACAAATGGATCAAATACAATATCATTTTCTTTCACTTTTCCATGGTTGGCCATGATGAATGATAAACCAGCATCCATGCTTGTATTTCCAATAAAGTGTCTCTTTTTGACACTGTATGACTCAATAAGCTCTCTCTGCCCATCTGCAATCTAGATTAGAGATAATTTTCAATTTGTGTAAATGTACAGAACAGATTTAAGATAATTATTCACAATAAACCCATAGTATCTTGACAATGAGAACTTCTTTCCATTTACCACTGCTTCACATAAATATGTGATTAAGGCAGTTATGGACAAATACCTTTATTTCTTAGTGTGTTCCCATTTACTTTTGCTTTTCAAAGCAAATTTGAATTGAATTTGAATGCAATTATTCCAGGGCTTGGTGGTGAGCTCTAGCCACCTCTTTTTTTCTCCTAAATAACAATATTCTGTAACATAAGCCACAGCTTCCTGCCTCAGGGAAGTGGGCAGAAATGCTCTGCAGTAATTTCATTTCTCTTCAGAATGGAAACCTAGATCAGAGAGCTCCACAAATGAGAATCCTGCTATCACAGCACTCTGCCTTTTCTCTGCTTTATTAAAAAAGCAGTTCACACTTTCTGATGAGTCTTAAGACTTCCAGGTACATCACCTCCTACCTGGGCCCCATATCTAACAATCCTCTTGCATTTTATCAGAATCTCTGGAAAAACAAAACACAACCACATATTTTCCACTGATTTTAATTCACACAGTAGTTCTGACTCTTCAGCTCCTTTAAAGTTTTACATATAAAGAGTCAAATACAAAGGCCTACCACTTAGAATTTTTTCTTTTTTTCAATTTTTTATTGAAGTATAGTTGAATTACAATGTTAATTACTGCTGTACAGCAAAGTGACTCAGTTATACATATATATACATTCTTTTTCATATTCTTTTCCATTATAGTTTATCACAGGATATTGAATATAGTTCCCTGTGCTATACAGTAGGACCTTGTTGTTTATCCATTCTATATATACCAGTTTGTATCTGCTAATCCCAAACTCCCACTCCTACCCTCTCCCACCCCTTTCCCCCTTGGCAACCACCAGTCTATTCTCTTATGTCCCTGATTCTGTTTCTGTTTCATAGAATAGGTAAAAAGAACACTTGCTTACCCATCTGCCAAAATAGATATTATGTGGATTCTCAGGGATGCAGTTTGGGTCCAAACCATAATCCTCCAAAATAGAGAATATATGTTGTGGCTTCTTTAAATTCACTTTTCCTTCAAATGGCAGAAATTCAAGTGCCTAAAAAGTAAAAGTAATTCTAATGCCCTATAACAATTTAAAAGAAAACATAGTGCTTATATAATAATACCAATCTTGTAAGTCTGGTATCAGCACTAAATAAGACAAAACATGAAAAGTACTTAGCACATAATGTGGTACAAAAGAAGCACTTAGCATTGCGGATATTATATATCAACAGTGGCTATATTACATTAATCTCATAGGTTTTTGGTGTTTGCTAAATTCACTTACATCTATCCGTTTGACTTTTTCTTCTTGTGTCAACGTTTTATTAAATGTGTGAATCTTTATTTTATATGTAGAATCTGAATGCAGAAATGGAACCTAAAATAAGAGCAGATAAATTCTTTAAGCTTAGTAATTCTACAGTATCTACAGATATGCTTACAGAAAACCACATTTCACTACGCACCATCTTCTCCACAGGGTAGTTTTTCAAAGAACTATACAGCTCCTCTGGAGACTTTCCATGACCCCATAGTTCAAATATAGACCTAGGAAATAAATGATTGACATTAACCTCAGTTAAAAAAAAAAAAAAATGAGTTCATACAGTAATATGTAACAATTATTTCACTGGTTCTTTATGCTTGCTCCACTAAAACAATTATTGCCTATGTTTTCTAAGCTATAAATGAGAAATACGCACCCTGGAAACAAATATAGCTTAAGTCTAAATTAACACAGAAGTTGAACTTTACACAAAGAAGGAGGATTTATAAGTCAAGATTTTTTGAAGTTTTCATCATAATCATTTCATCATTTTTAAAAAATTTTTATTGGAGTATAGTTGATTTACAATGTTGTGTTATCACTTCATCATTTTTTAACTAGAACACAAATGATTCCATAAAATGACTTGTGATTTTAGTGAAACAGTAATAAAGGTGCAGGAAATTCAATCATTCCCACTGTCTTCTGAATAAAACAAAAGGAAAAACGACCAGATAAAAATGTTACCATTAATATTTAGCCATTATTTAATAACATTTAGTAATAATTACTTTTATGACTATTACAAAAACAAAATTCTTACTACAAAACAATCTCAAGCGTCTATCAAGGAACATAAAAAATTAAGCAAAATTTCATCGTAATCAATGAAACAATTCTTAGAATTAGTTGTAATGGAACTTGATCTATATATTAGCACAATTTTGTGCATCTGAATTCAACTACTTTATGATTGTAAGTAATGCTGCCATTAGGACTGAGTATACTATCTTCTGAAAATGAATTCCTCCTTTCCCTTATAATGAATTATAGAAAGAGGGCCTCTACAGTAATACTACCCTTACTTAGCTAACTAAGAGCTAACAATATAACTCAAAGAACCAGGGACTGTTCTAAGGCCACTTAATATTAATTCACATATTCCTCACAGGAATCCTATTAGGTAGCTGCCAGTATCATCATCCATTTAACCAATGAGGAAACTGAGGCACAGAAAGATTAAATAACTCTCTCAGGTCATATAGCAATTGGTGAAGCTAAGATTCAATCCCAATCCATCTGACTCCAGAATCTATACACTGCTTCTCAGATATAAATATGCAAAAAGACAGGAACTCCAGGCCATTCAGGAAAGGCACAGACAATTCCATAAATCATAATTATCCCTAATGAACCATTATACAGTAATTTATAGGAACTAATGCTTGTAGTGATAACCTAGAATCAGTAAAAATGAAATAATACTCCCTACCCTCTTTTTCAGAAAGAATTTATATAACATTAATAAATTTATATTTAAATGGCAAAATAAAAAGATATATAACATCATCAGCTTCAGTTATAATTGGAACACTGGAGTAACACCCTTTGTGATTTAGATTTCAGAGTAAACAGTTTTCATATATATGACTGCACTATTATGATCCCTATTTTAGAGATTATAAAACTTATATGAATTGCCACATCTCATGGGTGCTATATAAATAAGCATGGATGTCAACTTACTAATATAATATCAATATGACCTAAAATATTTCACTGACTATAGCAGTAATAATGAAACCTTTCTGACAAATAAAAATGCTTTAAGAAACTATGTTTTGAGGGAAGAAGGGTAATAGAATGGGGAAAGATACACAAGGAGCACCAATGGTTTCTGTTATGGTTTATTTCTTTTAAAAAAAAAAAAAGCTGTGGCAAATATCTCAAAATATTGAGATCTAACAAGGTAGGTACCTCAGTGTTTGTTATAGATCACTGCTTGTGGTATGCTCAAAATAGTCCATGTTAAAAATAAGTCAAATAAAATCAACTTTCAATCCCTATTCTACCACAAAAAAAATCTGAATTTAAGTTAGCTTTGAATGCACAGTTCTAAAAGTCTATTAGTTCCAGAACAATTAATGCTACAATTAGAACTGTAAATTTTATCCTCTGAAAATGAATTCCCCCATTTCTATTAAATTTATAGAGAGAAGGCCTCTGCAGTAATACTGTTCTTACTTAGTTATCACTTAAGGTATAACCTCAGCTATGCAAAATATAGCGACCAAAAAGCAGCCAGGGACATTATTTCATAATGTTATACAACTATTACACAACTATTTATTGTACCATTACTCAAATATATTCATCAGAAGATATGAGCTTTGAAGGAAGTGTACAAGTTCTGGTTCTCAAGTAGCTATTTTAAACCTATAAGCTTTATCTTTGGAATTCAAACACCTCTTAGAGCCATAAATTTTAATACGCTAATGTAGAGTAATAATTATTCAAAGGATGTGTTTCTTAGTTCTGTTTCTGCTTTCTAGTCATTTTTATTGACTAAGACCCATCAACAAGCCTCAATTTATGAGATTAGATTTAGTACTGCAGCTAGTTTTCAATAGGATAAATTTAATATGGGGGTTGTAGTCTATTCAATAATATAGCAATGACATACTATGCTATAAAGTATTGCTAACCATGCTAACAAAACTAGATATATGTAAATTCTTACTTGCACTGCATTATTAAATATTGTAATTTCTAAGCAAAAAGAAGTTTTCAGAAATGTTTGGGGGTGGGGGGGCATGTAAAAAAAAGCAATTCAAGGATAACATAAGTTGTTCAGTTCTTAAAATGGTAGCTAAAAATGCAGTTTAATTTTCAAACCCAAAGATAGAATTTTCCAACAATAAAAAAAATGAAAGAAAGAAAAGAAATGCAAAAAGAATTGATACTAATGATAAAAGCTAGAAAACACTCAGGCAGGATAAATAAGGAAGACATCATTATATTAATCCATATCAAGATATGATAATCAGAGTTCCTCTAACAAATAAAACAGAAAACATACTTTATGGTAGTCCTCATTTTTTGTCATCTTACACTTCACCATTCTGTTCATCTAACTAAAAACCATCTATAAGAAAAACATTTTTAGGTTTTCAATACTTTGGTTATAATTAAATGTGGCATTTATCCTATGTAATAACATAGCATTTACATCTTATACCATATGCTTGCTTAATGTAGAAGTTTAAAAAAATTATTCTAAAGCAAGTGTTTCTGCATTTCACCACTGAAATTCTCTCATCCTCAGTTTCAGCAGATAACTCTCCTCTGTTCTCCTACCACCATCCAGTGGCAAATACATGTAACTACAAGTTCAGCTGAGCTCCCCAGACAATCAACCCCCTTCTACCTTCTGCCAACATAAGCAAAAAGTAGGACAGAGTAGTTATGAGAAGTCTGGTTTACACTCATGCAGGAGGACACTATAAGTTTTTCTTACTTGGCACACACTGTCCGTTTCATTAAGTTTCTGGCAATATCTTCAGAGGGAATGCTAAGAATCCAAAAAGGAGACTGAAAGAAACAACAATATATGGTTTTATGGCCTCATATGCTTTCGTTTAAGAATAAGGAGAGATTCCTATCTGCTACTTTTATGTAAGAATATCTGATTTGACACTAACCAAAATAAAAATTGCTCCAATAGTTAAAAAAAAAAAAGTAAATTATTTTAATAGGTAACCTGTTAAGATAATACAGTACAATATCAGAACACTTTTATAAATGACTGTATAAATGAAAACATCAGCAAATTTAAGGATATTTAAACTTCAGGTTAATTTTGTATTTGCTCTTATATAGTTTGATCAAGAATTAATGAGTATTTTACCCCAAAATATAATTTCAGAATTTTTTATTGTTGCTAATTATTTCTTATAACACAGCTGTTTTATTTTTAACTATTAAGTAATGTATTTCTTTGAAGGATCCCTTTTTTTTCTAGGTAGTTGTGGCCACCCGAGGGGGTGGGAAACGTTGTCTCTGCAATAACTATCATGGAAAACTATACAGTATATTATTAAATTATCATTTATTTTTTATCATTTTATCTAAGGAAAAAAGTTCCAAGTGCATCAGCGGGTTTTAATACCCAAGATTATAGGCACTTCTGTGCTCCGCCCAGATAACCACTTGCCAGAATGCAGCAAAATGTAGCAGGATCCTAACCTCAGTTTAACACCCTCACCCAATTATATCCACACTCTCCCTCTTTTCCTCCTCCCTCAATAAGTGAAATTCATTCAGGAGTACAAGTCCAACACCAGGGGACTTTCAAATTAAGTTCTCTCATCTTTTGTGAAAAGTCCTCCCTGCCACACCCAGCCTTTATTCCAATATTTACACTACCCTACAGAAAAATTCAAAATAATCCAAACAGGAAAAAAGATGGTCATCTCAGTATTATTTTTATTAGGAAAAATTTAAAAGCAACCTGAATGAAATGAAATCATTAGATAAATTACGGTAGAGCTAATCGATGGAAAACATTACACAGCCCTGTTAGTAATGAAAGCTATGCAGAAATATGTGCCTATATCAATGCTATCAAATGAAAAAGAGATGCAGAAGTTCACTGGTAGCATTACCACTGAGCAGAAAAAACGTGTATGAAAAAAGACGAGAAGGCAGTATCCCCAAATTATAAGTCATGTCAAGGAAGAAGAACTGTGAATGATTTTTTCTTTTTCTATTTTCCAAACTCCTCTAATACACTGATAAACCATCAAATACAAAATATATAAATAAACTCACAATTTCACACATGCACAATTACAAAATTTAAAATGAGTACCAATATAAGCCTGAAATTCAGCTAAATTATAAACTCTAATTATACCTCATCAATAGAAGACAGCCCTTTTTCCAATGAAGCGACAGATATAAATTATGGTATAACTGAACTACAATTTAAAAACTAATAAAATAAGTGAATACTGGAAATAAATCTAACTTTCCAAAACCAAAATTTCTCCAAAATATCCTTTTTATTCAATTGTCCCTAAAAACAGACACAGGTAACCATAAAAATATAAGATTTTGAGTTCTTCTCTTTAAATCCAAGGTTCTATTTATAAGGATACTACATATGGTCTAATGAAAAATACAAATTCAACTTACCTTTCCATAAGTTTCCTGACTATTGGTGAACTGACCTCCAAAAAGTGAAAGCAGAGACTTTATTTCCTATATTGAAAATATCAGAGAGTGAATACATTTTAACACAGGGAACTTAAAGTCTATTAAGATGCAGTTATAACACACACGCACACTCACACACACACACACACACACACACAAAGAGCAGATTATCTACTTAAGGTGTTTAAATGTCAGTACCAGACAAATTACAACTCTGGATTCTAAAAATATTTTACAGTCACAATCATGGTAAGTAATTTCAGAGAAATTTTAGAAAAAAAAAAAAGCGTCAAAAAACTTTGAGAAAATGCAGTTTTAAAAGGAAAAAGCAGATTACAAAAACAATAGATTAGTAAATCTGACAATGGATCAATACAAATAAATTAGATGATTTGAGGATGTTCAGAAAAGAAATAACATGTTTGTAATGATGTTTAGTATTCCTGTGTTTTCCCTTTGAATATTAATATCATAAACATTTTCTTCCTTGGCATCAGGACTGCAAATTTTTCAGTAGGAAACAATACACTTTATGTTGGACATTTAGGTATTTCAATTTTATCAGTTTAAAACAAAGCTAAATACTTATTTTCACAAATATATGGATTTTTCCATTTGAGATTGCTTCTTTAAAGTAGCATTACTATACTCAGAGATGTGAAAAATTTTATGGCTTCTTAGAGTATATGTGGCCAAAATACTTTTTTTTTTTTAACATCTTTATTGGAGTGTAATTGCTTTACAATGGTGTGTTAGTTTCTGCTGTATAACAAAGTGAATCACCTATACATATACATATATCCCCATATCCCCTCTTTCTTGCGTCTCCCTCCCACCCTCCCTATCCCACCACACTAGATGGACACAAAGCACAGAGCTGATCTCCCTGTGCTATGCAGCTGCTTCCCACTAGCTATCTATTTTACATTTGGTAGTCTACATATGTCCATGCCACTCTCTCACTTGGTACCAGCATCCCCCTCCCCCTCCCCGTGTCCTCACTTCCATTCTCTACATCTGCGTCTTTATTCCTGTCCTGCCCCTAGGTTCTTCAGAACTATTATTTTTTTTTTAGATTCCATATATATGTCTTAGCATACGGTATTTGTTTTTCTCTTTCTGACTTACTTAACTCTCTATGAGACTCTAGGTACATCCATGTCACAACAAGTAACTCAATTTTCTTTCTTTTATGGCTGAGTAATATTCCATTGTATATATGTGTCACATCTTCTTTATCCATTCATCTGTCGATGGACACTTAGGTTGCTTCCATTTCCTGGCTATTGTAAATAGAGCTGCAATGAACACTGTGGTACATGATTCGTTTTGAATTATGGTTTTCTCAGGGTATATGCCCAGTAGTGGGATTGCTGGGTTGTATGCTAGTTCTATTTATAGTTTTCTAAGGAACCTCTATACTGTTCTCCATAGTGGCTGAATCAATTTACATTCCCACCAACAGTGCAAGAGGGTTCCCTTTTCTCCACACCCTCTCTAGCATTTATTGTTTGTAGATTTTTTGATGATGGCCATTCTGACCGGTGTTGAGTGATACCTCATTGTAGTTTTGACTTGCATTTCACTAATGATTAGTGATGTTGAGCATCCTTTCATGTGTTTGTTGGCAATCTGTATATCTTCTTTGGAGAAATGTCTATTTAGGTCTTCTGCCCATTTTTGGATTGGGTTGTTTGTTTTTCTGATATTGAGCTGCATGAGCTGCTGGTATATTTTGGAGATTAATCCTTTGTCAGTTGCTTTGTTTGTAAATATTTTCTCCCATTCTGAGGGTTGTCTTCTTGTCTTGTTTATGGTTTCCTTTGCTGTGCAGAAGCTTTTAAGTTTCATTAGGTCCCATTTCTTTATGTTTGTTTTTATTTCCATTTTTCTAGGAGGTGGGTCAAAAAGGATCTTGCTGTGATATATGTCATGAAGTTCTGCCTGTGTTATCCTCTAAGAGTTTTATAGTGTCTGGCCTTACATTTAGGTCTTTAATCCATTTTGAGTTTATTTTTGTGTATGCTGTCAGGGAGCATTCTAATTTCATTCTTTTACATGTAGCTGTCCAGTTTTCCCAGCACCACTTATTGGCTGCAATGAACATTTTGGTACATGACTCTTTCTGAATTCTGGTTTCCTCAGGGTATATACCTAGTAGTGGGATTGCTGGGTCATATGGTAGTTCTATTTGTAGTTTTTTAAGGAACCTCCATACTGTTCTCCATAGTGGCTGAACCAATTCACATTCCCACCAGCAGTGCAAGAGTGTTCCCTTTTCTCCACACCCTCTCCAGCATTTATTGTTTCTAGATTTTTTGATGATGGCCATTCTGACTGGTGTGAGATGATATCTCATTGTAGTTTTGATTTGCATTTCTCTAATGATTAATGATGTTGAGCATTCTTTCATGTGTTTGTTGGCAGTCTGTATATCTTCTTTGGAGAAATGTCTATTTAGGTCTTCTGCCCATTTTTGGATTGGGTTGTTTATTTTTTTGTTATTGAGCTGCATGAGCTGCCTGTAAATTTTAGAGATTAATCCTTTGTCAGTTGATTCATTTGCAAATATTTTCTCCCATTCTGAGGGCTGTCTTTTGGTCTTGTTTATGGTTTCCTTTGCTGTGCAAAAGCTTTGAAGTTTCATTAGGTCCCATTTGTTTATTTTTGTTTTTATCTCCATTACTCTAGGAGATGGGTCAAGAAGGATCTTGCTGTGATTTATGTCATGGAGTGTTCTGCCTATGTTTTCCTCTAAGAGTTTGATAGTTTCTGGCCTTACATTTAGGTCTTTAATCCATTTTGAGCTTATTTTTGTGTATGGTGTTAGGGAGTGATCTAATCTCATACTTTTACATGTACCTATCCAATTTTCCCAGCACCACTTATTGAAGAGGCTGTCTTTTCTCCATTGTATATTCTTCCCTCCTTTATCAAAGATAAGGTGACCATATGTGTGTGGGTTTATCTCTGGGTTTTCTATCCTGTTCCATTGATCTATATTTCTGTTTCTGTGCCAGTACCATACTGTCTGGATTACTGTAGCTTTGCAGTATAGTCTGAAGTCAGGGAGCCTGATTCCTCCAGCTCCATTTTTCTGTTCTAATATTGCCTTGGCTATTCGGGGTCTTTTGTGTTTCCATACAAGTTGTGAAATTTTTTTGTTCTAGTTCTGTGAAAAATGCCAGTGGTAGTTTGATAGGGAGTGCACTGAATCTGTAGATTACTGTGGGTAGTATAGTCATTTTCACAATACTGATTCTTCCAACACAAGAACATGGTATATCTCTCCATCTGCTGGTATCATCTTTAATTTCTTTCATCAGTGTCTTATAGTTTTCTGCATACAGGTCTTTTGTCTCCTTAGGTAGGTTTATGCCTAGGTATTTTATTCTTTTTGTTGCAATGGTAAATGGGAATGTTTCCTTAATTTCTCTTTCAGATTTTTCATCATTAGTGTATAGGAATGCAAGACATTTTTGTGCATTCATTTTGTATCCTGCTACTTTACCAAATTCATTGATTAGCTCTAGTAGTTCTCTGGTAGCATCTTTAGGATTCTCTATGTATAATATCATGTCATCTGCAAACAGTGACAGGTTTACTTCTTCTTTTCCGACTTGGATTCCTTTTATTTCCTTTTCTTCTCTGACTGCTGTGGCTAAAACTTCCAAAACTATGCATAATAATAGTGGTGAGAGTGGGCAACCCTGCCATTTTACTGATCTTAGTGGAAATAATTTCAGTTTTTCACCACTGAGAACAATGTTGGCTGTGGGTTTGTCATATATGGCCTTTATTATGTTGAGGTAAGTTCCCTCTATGCCAACTTTCTGAAGGGATTTTATCATAAATGGGTGTTGAATTTTCTCGAAAGCTTTTTCTGCATCTATTGAGATGATTATATGGTTTTTATTCTTCAATTTGCTAATATGGTGTATCACATTGATTGATTTGCATATATTGAAGAATCTTTGCATTCCTGGCATAAACCCCATTTGATCATGGTGTATGACCCTTTTAATGTGCTGTTGGATTCTGTTTGCTAGTATTTTTGTTGAGGATTTTTGCATCTATGTTCATCAGTGATATTGGCCAGTAGCTTTCCTTTTTTGTGGCATCTCTGTCTGGTTTTGGTATCAGGTTGATGGTGGCCTCGTACAATGAGTTTGGGAGTGTTCCTCCCTCTGCTATATTTTGGAAGAGTTTGAGAAGGATAGGTGTTAGCTCTTCTCTAAATGTTTGATAGAATTCGCCTGTGAAGCCATCTGGTCCTGGGCTTTTGTTTGTTGGAAGATTTTTAATCACAGTTTCAATTTCAGTGTTTGTGATTGGTCTGTTCATATTTTCTATTTCTTCCTGATTCAGTCTTGGAAGGTTGCTCTCTCTCTCTCTGGGGGTTATTTTCCTTATGTGTAGATGAGAAGGCTTAAATTCAAAGGAGAGGATACTGTGGCCAGATGAGGAACAGCCTGCAACTTTTCTCAAATTCTTAAAGAACTGTTGTGGAGTAGAACAGATTTCTCTGTTTGACTCTAAAGTTGTACACTCAGGGCCCTGGATGAAATACACAGGCACAATGAAGATCTAGCTAAAGAGTCAGGAGTGCCCAAAGGTTAAAGAAGATGTCTTGTGAGCTTAGTAAATGCCTTGCCCCTAGAGGTGTTACTGTGGGAAACTGAATGTTTTCTTGCAGCTCTGCTGTAAAGGACATGCAAGCATGCAGCTTCCATTCCCCATATTCTTAATTCTTCCACTGGATGACTTCTTCCAGCTCCACAGGTGTTCAAATTTGCAAAGATCTTTGACTTTGTGATCTTTTGGTAACTCCTAGGTCCATGGGTCTGGAATGGTGCAGATGGGGATGCGGCAAATAAAGCCGCCTGGATTGCGGGTCACCTGCGGACAGCCTAGCGTGTTTATTTCAGTGATGTGTGAGAAGGGAGTGGGTGTGGGGCAGTGGGGGGAGGAATATTGATCGGGGACTGAATTTAAGTGCACTTCCAGAGATGATTACAGGGTCATGATTAACGGTCTGTAGAAGC